AGGATGTTGGATTACAGGAGCATCCTTGATAGACAACAACCTATATGAATGATGAAAGTGAGGCCGCTCTCCTTGAGAATCGGGCTAATTTTCTAAGACGTGAATGAATTGGATAAAGCACATGGCCGTAAATGTGCTAGCTTAAAGAACTCCTATGATACCTGAAATTTTATGTGTTCTAACTTCTAAGTAGTTGTTGTGCCCTCAAGTTGTCTTGGTTCAAGACTTGATCACCTTGGCACTAGTGCAATAAGTTCTTATTGACTAAGCAATGGTTCAAGCCATTGGCACCATTGTTATTCATAACATTTCTGTTTATACCCGGTTAATCTATAATGTTTTTTTTATTTTTTATTTTTTATTTTTATTAAATAATAAGTGGGGGATTGTTGGCTTATTTTTTAATAAAAAAGATTTTATTAGAAAACCTATTTTGACCACGTCTTACTCCTTAAATCATGAAGACTACGTGAGCGTATTTTTGGACTTGAAAAAACCAAGGTTAACTTTTATTCTCTTATCCAGTAGTAGATTTTTATGGGATATATTTGATTTTTATTTTATTTTTTAGATAGTTAAATAAGACAAAAATTTCTCTTTTTAAAGGAACAAGTTTTGGTAAAACAAAAAGTTCTCTTTGTGTTTATTATTGATTATCGGATATTAACAAGAAAGTGTGAAATTCTATCTTCTTGCGTTGTGCAAACGTAAAAAGAGTACAAAGATAGTTTGGGTTGTTGTACTCATAAGATGCGTGCCAGGGAGTCTACTGCACCAAAATTTCAATAGCAGAGTCACCAAATCGTCTTAAGAGGGCGACGTCTATAACGTGCCTCATCTTAATCTGTCTTTGGCGGTATTGTTTTGATAACTCTTTTGGGTTCAAACAGTTGAGGTAAATCTGTATCACTCTATAGTTTATTATTATTAGAGTAACATAATCTATAAATTTGGAATTACTGGAGTGTGAAAACAAAAGCAGAAAAAGAAACAAGAATTAGTTATGCAAAACAACATAAACACATGCTTAATAAATTAATTACATTGGGATTAATTAGAGTAACATCTTTGAATTGTTAAGTTATTTTATATAATAATATTATGCTTACTCATGAATTTACTAACTGTTTTATTACCTTTGTTTTATTATCTTTGTTAAAATTATATATAATACATATATTATATATATAATATCTACACTATACATTATACAAAGGATATTAAAATAGTTAACAAGATACGTAGCTTACTCTATTTTATATTGAGTTTCGGAAAGAGTTTACACGGTTGTTGAATACTCCGACAGCCAATTTTAATGAAGTGTTGACTATCTCTTATCTCTATCACCATGTCAAACAAACATCAAATTTTAATAAACTAGCCAACTGTTCTTGTTCTCAGAAGAGACAAAACCAGTGTTGTATACTTTAGGTTCGACAAAAAGTCAAAAATTCAGCTAGATGGACTAGCCTGTATACAATGAAATGTTCAGGAGTTGCGATGTCAAATACCATTAAAGGTTTTGACCTCCAAAAATTCACAGACATGGCTGCTGTAGGTGGCATTTAGTACAATGTATAACTGCAGAAGCTTGAGGCTATACTGAGTAATGTTTATTTCGAAATAATCGGTTTGTTTAATTATCTTTTCCTATTCTATTAACACTATTTCCAAAATACACCCTTATTTTTCTATTTTGAAAATAGTATTATATTTTATTTAACTATTTTAAACCTCTTAAATTTATTAATTTAACTAGATACAAAAAAAAAAAAAAAAAAAAAAGTTTAGAACACTATCGTTGACGACCAAACACGGCCAGATCTGACCGTAGATCTAACATTTTTCAGCTAGATCTACGGTGGATCTAGCTAGAAAAAGTCATCTTACCGCACAATCGGCCAGATTCAGTCGGTCATGAGCCGTAACGCCAGATTTTGGCCAGATTTCGATAGTGGTGACCGGAATCTGACAACTGTATGTGGTGGGGGTGTTTTTATCATTTTACAAAATTTATACATTGGGGTTTTTAGTTAAATTAGCAAACCTAAGATGTTTTTTTTGTTAATTTGTAAATTCTACCTCGTAATAATCACCTAACTCTACCTACCAATAATATTTCAAAAATACTACTCAAAATAATAAAACAAACACACTCATGTATATCATGCTTGTTAGATTGCATATGGTTGCTACTAACTCCGTACCAATTTGACATTGATATTAGTAACAGAGAACCACGTACATCATACAAGAATTAAGATTATTAAAGAGATATCCTGCAGAATATATAAATTAAGGCAATTGGCAATTAATTGATCATTTATGGAATAGTAGTGTATGGTTTTTTTGTGGAAAGCATATGCATTTTGAGATTGACAATGGCAGAAATGAATTCAGACGATAGCCAGGGAGGATGTAGCAACAATACAGCCATGTGACTTGATCAAGCAAAAGGAAGAAGAAGTAGAAGATCCATTAAAGTACAATTTAATTGATTACAAAAAGAATAAAACCTTGTTATATAAAATTAACAACCTGTGGCTGCTAATATACATGTATTGTCTCCGGATGTTAACGAAGGGCAAAGTTGCATTAACAGGCAGCATTCAAAACCACAACCACAGGCAATGTGTGAAGCTTCGTAATAGTATCAAGAGATATAGCAAAGTCCAAGATGAAGAATGAGAATTGTGTTACCATTAATGAGTTTGCTTTTATGTTTGCTGTTATTATCTAGACCTTGTTACGCAAGATTTTATAGATTGCTGCAAGATCCTATATATTCAAACACATGAAAGCCATCAACTTCGATTGTGATGAATATTTATAATAAAGTGTTAACTAGGTTGACATAACATTTATAATAACTCATGATTGTTTAAATAAATAAATAAATATTTGGAATGTTGGCTGTGTTTGGTTGAGTATTTACTATTAATTAGGTTGACATAACATTTATAATAACTCATGATTGTTTAAATAAATAAATAAATATTTGAAATGTTGGCTGTGTTTGGTTGAGTATTTACTATTTAGAGTGGTATTTTTGAAAAATTTAAGATGAGCTGTTATTATAAGAATAGAATTTGAATTTGAAAATATGTTTGGTAAATTTTTAGAAAACATTTTTTGAAAACATTTATATTATTTTTTTAATCTCATATATTTGTTAATTTACCTAAACATCCCCTACAATAAAACATTGAAAATTAACAAAAACACCCACACCCATCCATTAAATGTTGGTAACTGGCCACCACTGTCGAATGGTGGTTGGAAGTCGCCGAAATGGCGCATGACCTACCAGATCTGGCCGGCCATGTGCCATTCTGGTGCCTTTTGGCCACCCTCTAGCGATGATGGCTGACTGTTGGGAATATGTGGGTGAATGGGAGTGTTTTTGTCTATTTATAAACTTTTATTATTGGGGGTATTTAGTTAAATTAACAAACATAAGGGGTTAAAAAAATCTAAATATTTTGAGTTGAATATAATAAAATTGGATTTTGAAAATATTGAATCAAATATGTATTTGAATAGGATTGGATAAGATAATATTTAGAATAATGAAACAAACACAACCTTAACTTCTCAGGAAATATTAATAAACTGAGTACAGTTGAATAAACTCCAACACAATTTCACCTTCTTCAAATGAAGTATAAATGTTAATCACTTGGTTGTGGCTGGATGATAAGACTTTAGGCTACCTAGAGGTTTTGTGTTCGAGTTCCATCAAGTAGTCACTTACCACATTTGTGACTTCTTTAGCCCATTAATCTTGTAAGGTGTTCATTTTTCAATGAATCTTGAAGATTAGTCGATGTGCTCGTAAGTTGACCCAAACAACTTGGTCACAAAAGTAAGGTGTTCAATAGACCTCGGGGATTAGTTACCGATGATTAGTTGAAGCACGCGTAAACTGACCCAGATAATCCGGTCACAAAAGTGGGGTGTTCAATGGATCATAAAATTAGTTAATATGTGCGTAAACTGGCTTGTCACCAAAAATAATAAATAAATAAATGATATTAAGAAATGATAAAGGGCTTGTACGATTTTATATAGGAATTGTATTGGCACTGTACCCAAAAACCCCTAAAAATGATCAAGTATGTCTCTCATACTTTTTATTAATATTAAATAATGCGACACTTTTAGCAAGGGTATTGCAAGACTCGAGCCCCTTCAATTTATTTAATCTTGCTCGAGTTTGTTCATTATATTCGAATTTTCAATTCCATTTGAATTAACACAACTGTTCTTGTTTTCGTTATACACAAAATACATTTTCGACATTTTATGTTTTTTTAATATTATATCATTTAAAACCAAAAACAAAAAGCACAATAATTACTACATTTTAATTTTAATTCAGTTTTTTTTTTTTTTTTTCACTTGTATATTGAGGATAAGGATTTTGTGTTATTTGGTGATAAAGACATAGATAAAATTTTAAAAAATAATAATAATAACATAAGACGTCTTACCTAAAATGTTTATTAAATTTGGGTAATTTTTTATTTAACTAATAAAAAAGTTTAAATAATTAAAAACTATTTAATGATCTGATACAATTTATTTCTTATAAACGGATGTGACAATACATCATATTGATGGATAATCCCATCTTATTACTAATTTAAAATCAAGAGTAATGTTACAGCTAACGATGGTAGTGCATCAAATTTGTACACCGAATGATGTGATAAAATCTTAACTGTTGATTAATATTAAGTTAAAAATAATCAATAGTCAATATTTTACTACGTTATTCGGTGCACAAATTCGATGCACTACTGTCAATGACTGTATTATTTTCCTAAAATCAATAAAGCATTATTGAACCAAAATATGAACCTCTAGAAACCAAGTCAAACATGACAAAGCGAGAATATTTGACTCCACATTAACTTGCGCCGACCCTGACCTGGACCCGGACTCGGCCCAACTTGCAATTACCCACTTCGTCTTTGACAGTCGAGTAAATAGCAGCCAGCTCCAACTAAACTCATCTCTAATTCTTAAACTCTGTCTCTGTTCCGTCCCATTCGTTCTCCATTCATCGTATTTTGCAAAATGGAGACGAACTTGTGGGAGTGGGACCACTGGGTCGAAGCAGCACTCTCAAAGCTTCAAATTTAAAAAGTGCTTCGCTCCCTAAGGCCCATTTACGTCTCCTCCAATGAACGACAGAAAGAACAATCTCCACCCGTCGAAGAACGTGACGATGATTACGAGGTGTTCGATGAAATGCAACCCTGGGATCGATCTGCCGTTGAAATATCAATCTCTGACTCCACCTTTCACAGATGGCTCCATGGCATTCCTTGTTCTGGTACTTTTGCTCCCTTTCTTTGTCTTATGTTGATTGGTTTTAATGATATTCATTATACTTGGTTTTGCTTGACTTTATCCATTGGTTTTTTAGGGATAATATTGCCAAGATTTTAGTTAACGTTTTGTAGGATTGTACAATGGCCCCGTATCATATTCATAGGGAATAAATTAATACATATTGTATTAATTAATACCGTGTATACTTAATGTATACATAATTCTGTACAATAGGTTTAGGTTGTAAAATTTATTAAAATTAATCAAAAAATACTTTATGATTAAAATATACCCAATATAATATTCATTATAGTATTGCAAATGCTACAGGACAGTTTGGCTTACCAAACATTGTCATATAGTTATTGGTGAACGATTTATGCACTAGAGTCGCTCCTTGGATTTTACTTGGACAGGGCTATTAACAATATGAGTGGAGACTTTATTTGATACTTAACCGTTTCTTTTTGGATTTTCAGGAGATGAGATTGTCTCCAGAGATGAGTATCTAATGGTAAGGCCACCACATGCTCAAGGCAGTTCAAGAAGCTACTTCTGTTAAATCTCCTAATAAGATTGTAAACTTCAGATGCATGGCTGACACCATTTATGAGTGTATTATACCTTGGATATTTTGCATCTTGTCTACGAAACCTTACTGCTCTGTGGTTCACAGTCCTCTGAGTGACTTCAACGAGTCTTTTGGAAATATTTGCTAGGTGTTTTGGTAATATACCATATGTTTGACAGATTGCTGGTCTTACTATGTTTATATGTTGTGTTATTTATTTATTTATTTTTTAATGTTTTTACCGCTGAAAATCCTGATGTTTTAACTTCTGGCATATTTATTGACGATGTGCTTAATTCGCTTCTTTCTGCAGCTTGTTTAGTATGGATGGAGACTTTGCACCAATGGTTGAACTTGTGAAGCTTCGCAAGAAGTATGGCTTTTTGTTAGTCTTAAATGATGTAAGTTTTCTTGATTGTCCAGTGTTCTACCCTTTTGTTTGACTTCAAGGGTTGGGTTAAGCGGTATAGACTTTTGGAATCAACCAAGAGGTTAGGCGTAAAACACTCCCGAAAGAACTTACTTGGATACATCCAATAAGTTTCTTGTAATCCCCAGTTTAAAATTCATGAAAATTTAAGAAAGGTTGGGGAATTTCTAGGCATAAAAGAAAATGTTCAAGTATTTATCACTTGAAGAAATTGTTAAGAGTTTGTCTTTTACATGACACTTGTTGAGGAATTGGACTACATACTCATTTATCTCTTGCACACTTAAAGCCTTTAAATTATGCTACATAAAAAGGTCTAACATTTCAGTTTTTCAAAAACTATTCTAATTATATTGATTCTTCAATAAATCATTTTTCAGTTGATATATATATTCTCTTTCCTCTCTTTCATATGCTAAAAAGCTTGTCCAAAATTTTATAGTGTATGGCATAGGGAAAGATGGTATCTTCTTCATAAATTAGCTCCAGGTGCATGCCAGCACCAAGTAACTATTCCTTAAC